TCTATCTCCCAAAATGCATTTACTTCAGGATGAATTGAATTATCTTTTGCTTCACCGTTATTAATCGCTCGTATCATATTATTTGGTATTCTAGGTGAAGTATTATTTAAATTTATATAATTCAAATCATCCCTTGATACTAAACATGAATGGCAAGGCTGTTTTGAAGTAGATGATTGATAAACATTTGCTATTTTATCCGCTTTAGCTAAATCAGCCAAAATTATTGAAATTCGAGGAATGAAGGTGACTATTTCGTCACAAACAACAAAGTTAAGCTCTGGCTTATCCACTATAGGCCTAAGAAGAATCGCCATATACTTCTGAAAGACCTCTCTTTTTATTTTACGGAACCTTTTAGAATTTTTTGTTTGAGTATCCTTGGCCTTTAAGATTGGAAGGTATCCAATTAATGCTTTAGATTCTGGTTTATTCCTCTGGTGGTTAGGAATGTTACCAAGTGATAAGAATATTGGATGGCCGGAGGATTTACCCATATAATCAAGGGTTGTTGTATCTGAATATAGTATTATCGATAGTAAATGATAACTGGGAAGTAATGCCGATTCTTCTCGCCTTCACCAATTATAGTTATACTGTTTCTCAAATACACGATGTTCTATACCATTAATTACTTCTTTTTTATCTACATATTGAAGAACTAATGACCGATTGATACTATCGATCATTAATAAAGACTTTATAGTTTTTATTAATGATCGATAGTAAAACATAAATTCAACGGTTTGAAATGTTGTAATTGGGATTCCTTTGAACATCATATGAGGGATAGTAGAGTTATCCAAAAATTCCTTTCCCATTCTTGTAGACGGAGGTAATGGTAAAACATCCAAACTTGAATATTTGTTGAAGAAGCTATAATAAAATCACTAGCTGAATTAGATAGTTGATACTTATTAACTATCTCCATAAATTCACAATAGGCTTCGTTAGGCCATTCTACGGCTGGTAGATGTAGTAAATCCTCAAAAGCATCTTTATATGAAGCACCTTCATAGTCTTCAAGATCATATTCCACCGAAATGGACATATTTGTTAAGAGAGGCTACATTTCCATATCAGAATCTTCATCCTAATATATAACGTTATGCAACGTTTTATAACTTATACCTATTTATTCAACCAACTTACCTCATAAGCTTCATTAGAATTATTTTCTGTGTCCATAAAAACATCTGATTCAGATGGAGAACCTAGTATAACTTCATCCTATAACAAATATTATCGCTTAATAACGTTTATAAGGGTGCCATATAATTAATATAATTTACCTCATATATTATAGAGCTATTAGAATTATATTCTGAAAGTACCCAAACATTGGCATCAAATTGTTCAGTAGTAACAGCTTGATTTGTTGATTCTGTTGAATCTTTGATATAAGGATGTTTTTCTGAAATATGTCGTGCCAACGCAAAAGCTTTTGAAAAATCTCGATCACAATAATCACAATCCCAACGCATTTTGAAAAAAATAAAAAAGGAAGAAAAATAAAAGGGCAAAGAGAGTGATAAAAGAAAGCTATAAAAACAAAAAGAAGATAAGAATAAATGAAATAGATGAAATATATGGAAGAATAAAATGGGAGTATATGAGATAAAGGGCGAAATAGCGATATATAACGAAAAATAGCGAAGAAGAGATGGAAGTGATTTAAAAAGAAGAGAGTAAATGAGAGAATAAGAACGAATGAAATTGATGAAAATAAATGAAAGAATCAAATAGAGTGAATGAGATAAAAGGACGAAATAGCGATATATAACGAAAACTAAAGAGAGTGAAATAAATGGGATGCCAGGACACTAGAACCTGAACAGGATTCTGTTCCTCGGATTTAAAAAGATAAAAATAAAAAGAGATATAATAAAGAGAAAAAGAAAAGGTGATAAACGAGAAGAAAGCGAACAAAAAAGAAAGAGTGATCACCACCAAAATTTGCAAACAGATTATAATCAATTATAATCAGAAGATTATCATCGATTAATAACACCCCTATCCTAACGATATATATAAAAATTTGTAAATTATAATCAAAATTTGACAACAATTTTCTCGATAACTAGTAATTAGAATTAGCTAAAATTTTTACTGAAGATACTGTATTATCGATATTCCTCTATAATATATTTAAATTTTATCCAAGTAATCGCGTCTATACGATAGTCAATTTTTAAAAATTGACTATTGTATAGAAGCAATTACTCGGATAAAATTTAAATATATTATAGAGGAATATCGATACTACAGTATCTTCAGTAAAAATTTTAGCTAATTCTAATTACTAGTTATCGAGAAACCGTTGTAAAAGTTTGATTATAATTTACAAATTTTAATAATCGATATTAATCGATTAATGATTTATATCAGTATTAATTGATATTTTTACCTATAATCGAATCGATTAAAATTTATTGATACTAATCGATTAACTCAATTATAATCGCTATATATCCCCTCAAAAACTTCCTGATGCCCATCAAAGCAATATAGAAAGTAAATTTAAAAATAAAGTTCGAATGATTTAAATGATTTTTAATCGATTTAAGCTATTCTTTTCTTCGATCAAAACAAACGGGTATTATGTAGTTTATAAGCAAGAAACTAACGTTATATTATGTAATTAATTCAATATTATAAATCTCAGCAAAAATTATCAATAATTAAATAAAACTCAGCATGTTATTATTACACTTGTAATGATAGTAAATTGTATGACCAAAACAACAAATGAGATAAGTATACTTCGTTCTTTTTTTTAACGATTGACATCATCAATTATATTAATTTATTAATTTTATTAATACAATAACCAAACAACAAATGAGATATGTATACTTTCGCAATATATTAATTTTATTATTCTCAGATATAATAAATTGTCGAATAAATGAGTTTTTTTTTTTACTATATAACGATTACAAACCAGTGTACTCTATCTTTATTTTTATCTAATTTTATATAATAAATTGTCGAATAAATGGGTTTTTTTACTATATACCAATTAAAAATGAGTGTATTCAATCTTTATTTTTATTATCTAATTACTTATAATAGATTGTCGCTATACGTAAGATAGAAAGGGATAATTTGACGAAGTTAAAATAACTAATATAAAAACTTATTTATTTTAATTGTCCAAAGCGTAGCGTGGACACACTTGTACGAGTAAACTTGAATGCACGTTTATGCAATGTTAGTCAGCTCCGAACAATAAAATTTGAGGATTGATGGTTATTCACAGTCAGTGTAACAATTGTTCAATAGACCGTTTCTAGTGTTACACATGTGCACTATTTTGCATGCCTACGTATTAATTGTATTAAACTTAATACATAATTTAGAATTATTTTATATAAAATTAGTAATATAATTTCTTTTTTTAAAGTGACATTATAGGGTTTGGCGACTTAGAGAAGTTGGTAAGTTGTCACCTCCCAAGTGGCAGGTCTAGGGTTCAAATCCCACTGACGACGCTTTGAAAAAATAGACCTGTGTTCTGGTAACTGTTTCCTGCCGATTAGTTGGGTACATTACCTGTAGTCCTTGGTTACCATCTCGAATGGGAGCTTTCGGGCGAAGTTGTGTTCTGTGACACAGACAAATCCAAGGAACCGGGGAAACAGAAACCCATTTGGCAAGACCCGAGTAAGGAGGTAGCAAAGATCTTTGACGGTGCTACCAAAACCAGAATATTAGACCGGAGCCGAAGTACCGGATGTTGTCCTTGGGGACAAGGTCTACCAACCTGGCCACCGGAATCACACCGGAGAAAAAGGACCCATGTTGAGGAATTGGGGACCAAGGGGAGAAAAACCATAATGGCACCTAATGCCAGGTAGATCAACCCTTCCGGGCCAACTGGATTGGAAGTCTGAGAAATCAGGGAAGGACCGGTAGGAAATGATGATAGGTACCGGAGTTGGAGCGAACCTTATAAGGGCAGAAGTAGGTAATGGTAGCAGTTGGGTATTCCCTGACTGCAAGTTGTTCGCTTCGGTAAATGCGTAAGTTACCGAAGTGTAGGTATTATCTGGGTGGGACAGAGACTGCTCTACCAAGTTTTCCGCCGAGGATACAGAATTAAAATGGGTCCTAAGGACGACGGATAAGCATCCGGGCCTGGCTAACTAACTGCTTATATAACGGGCCTGTTCAGGTGATACAGGATGAGTTGGCAGGAGGAGCAGAGATCAGAGGGTTTAAATAGGCAATCCCCTAGTTGGGTTGCAGATATGGCAGCTAGTGTGGAACCCGCGGGGTAACCTTTGGGCGGACTACTTAAATTAGATGACCAAAAGTTGTACATGTGGCTAGTTGTATCCTCGTCAATGTAACAAATGCAGGTGGCCCTTAGTGGGACACTGATCCAAATATCCTGAATAAAAAATTCCTTAGTCCCAAGGCGGACACTTTAAAAAATAAAATAAAATAAAGTGACATTATACATCGTATCAAAAGTTTAAATTTAAAGAGATAGGGGTAATTTGACAAATTGATGATATCTCATGTGATCCAACGATCAGAATCAGATGATTTTTGTACCATTCGATTCAACTCGATGATACGAATCGAATGGTATAAAAATCATCTGATTCTAATCACTGAGTTACGATATATCATTGATTATATACTACACAAAAAAAATCCTTGAGAGGGATTTTGACAAAGTATAAATAATCGATGATATCTTGTGATCCAGTGATCAGAATCGGGTGGTTCTTGTACTATTCGATTTGTCTCATCGAGACGAATCGAATGGTATAAAAATTATTCGATCCCAATCATTAGATCACACGATATCCAAATTCGTCAAATTACTCCTTTTTACTTTAAGTTGTCAAGAAATAAAAAATTTGTCGTTATACGTAAGTTGATCAAAGAAAAAAAATTTGTCGTTATACGTAATTTGATTTTGTCATATGTAAGTTAATCAAAGAAAAAAATTGTCATTATACGTAAGTTGATCAAGAAAAAAAATTTGTTGTTATACGTAAGTTGGTAAGAAAAAAATTTGTCGTCATACATAAGTGACCAAACATTTAATAAGATAATTGCACTTTCGTTTTTTTTTTTAATATATACTATATATCGATTAATATCGTCATACTTTTCTTGGTTATATATATATAAGCGATTTGGCAATTGTAGAGGTAAAGACATTTTTTAGAATTTCAAAATGGCTTCTAATAGTAACACTCCTATTAATAACACTCCTGCTCTCACTGACAACACTTCCGCTCCTCATTACAATACTACAAACAACAACACTCATGATAACACTCCTAACATTAATAACAGCCTGCTTTCTGCTAACACCACTTCAAACACCAACTTATTGCCTGACAATACTTTGAACAATAACTTACCTCCTCCATATCCGGCTGTCCTCATCGATAACAATCAATATATATCGAATACACCTCAACAATCATTTAATATCGTTGATGATTATGATTCTGACTCATTAGTTATAAGCATTGTGAGTGTACAGAATATATTTGAAAATATGAGTAGTAAAGGTAACAAAGGTAAAAGCAAACAAAATCAATCGAAACAAAATCCACCTCGTAAATCTACTACAAACCCATCTCGTCAAACCACACCAAACCCATCTTGTTAATCCACACCAAACCCACCATGTCAAACCTCTCCTCGTCAATCAACATCACATACTACCGAACATCAATCCAACCAAAACCTATCCCATCAATGTACTACTGAACGTCAAGCATCGCGTATTAGCGATCGCAATAGGTCCTTATCACCGCTGTCGCGTTATACAGAAAGTGAAAGATCTTGATCCAGTTCTCGATCCAGGTCACGTTATAGATTATGATCTCGTGATCAATGATCACCCACACCCAATCAGTATTAATCACCCATACCCAATCAAACACGCGATCATAATGGTATATAGGTTTGTTTTTTTTTGATCTTAGATCACTAGATTGACTCTTAGTTGGGAAGTTTTTTTTTTTGAAGAATTTTTTTTTCATATTGATAAGAATTCTGCAGTTACGTTGAGTATTGCAAAAAAGTCGACGCCAAGCTGTTTCAACAAAACATGCAGCTGTACCTTTTGAACCAAAAAATGAACAATGAGCTCCGAGAGCTAAAAGTTGAAATAAGACACCAAAGGAGTGAACAAGAAAAGGACCTTTCTGCAAAGGTGTTGGACATAAGTCTTTGTGTGTATAATATAGTGTAATAAAACTTGTTTTTAAACCCATTACAAAACCCTTGCAGAACGTATATACAGGCGTTGTGAAACGTCTTTTCCCGCTCCACGTCTATCCCACACAAAATACATTAAAGGAAGCCCTTAAGGGCTACCTTACCGAAAACTTCGCCGAATACATGTCGACTCTAAGTGAAAATGAATTCACCAACCGTTTTCACGGGGGTGGTGTAGCTAAGTATATAATTGTTTTATATCATTTTATTCAATATAATTATTTTATTTTAATTTTAATTGTTTAATTATTTTGTTTTTTTTTCTTTTGCTATTTTTTACTGGTTTAATTGTTTTTCTTTTTTTTTTGCTTATTTCTTTACGTATATAATCGTTTTATATCGTTTTATTCAATATATTTATTTTAATTTCAATCGTTTAATTGTTTTGTTTTTTTTCTTTTGCTATTTTTTACTGGTTTAATTGTTTTTCTTTTTTTTTTTGCTTATTCCTTCACTAATAACAAATTTATTTATTTGTATATTTTATTAGCTTTTACAAAAAATTAAGAACCATCGTGGTGCGGCGTTGCAAATGTACATTCCTCAATTTGGAAGGTATTCGGTCACGAAAGATTGCTTCCTCTCAAAAGCACTGCTAGTGCTGCCGAAATAATTCAGTGGAAGGAAAGTTCGCAAGTTAACGATTGCTATCGTGCTCTTTTTGAGCAGAATAGCGAAGGGGTTTTTTGGGTCTCTATCATCGCAAGATCTGCCTTCAGCACGGTTGCTGTCCCGACTTTGACCAAACATCACTGTGCTTTCACATTGGCTATGTGCGACATTTTATTAAACCCCCGGTCTAAATCTGTTCTGTGCAAGGATAAATTAATGAAGCGTTGAATGAGTCAATACCTAGTAAGTATTTGTTACATATCGTTTTATCCCAATAATCATATTTATTATTAACATTCATTGTATTTTATTAGAATGATTTCAACAATGGTGGTCCTAATCATAATTCGGCAGAAGAAATCATGGACAGTGAACTTGCAGGACGTCCTGCGACTGAAAGGTCGAGACATTCTTCACCTGAAGCTGAGCGTGAGCCTGAGCCTGAGTCTGTACCCATATACCGAAGAAGTTCATCAATGATGTTTATAGAAGAGCTAGACGAATTATTTGGAGTTAATCAATAATAGTTTAGCCTTTTGTTTATTTTTTCTTTATAGTATTTTCTTTTTTATTTGTATTTGCAATTTTTAATAAAATTGAATTGACTGCGCTTCATAAAGTATACAAATATGAAATTGAATCGCTGTATATCTAATAATATCGAATATCACTAGTAGTAAATTCGCTATTTATCTAATACTATCGTGATAACTAGCAATAAAATTCGCTATAGTATCGTAATTAATAGGTATGATTAGAATCGAATGTTATCATATATCACTAGTAATCAAATTGGTTATAAGCGATAACTAGCATTATCGCTGATTAACGAATTCGCTATATATCGATCATTATCATGATCGTTAGTAATCAGCAGGGGTGATTAGTATCGATAACTAGCATTATCGATGATTAACGAATTCGCTATATATTGATCACTATCATGATCGTTAGTAATCGGCAAGGGTGATTAGTATCGATATATAATTATCTGGTTAGTAATTGATATATATCGATCTATTTTTTTGCAGATGGTATTGCATTTATGGAGGTTGCATTTATGGATGTCTGACTGTATAAAGGTTTTTTTACTAAGCAAACCTTTTTATAATTTCTAATTAAACTTTGCAACCAACTTTTCTGATTCTAATGATAGTTAAATCATTCAAATCGCGTAAGTATATAACACGATATAAGTATTTATTGATTGTTTACTATAGAGTTTTTTATTATAATTAGAAATATATGGCATTCCACTTCTATATAAGGCAATTAGTAAATCTCTGCTGATTTTTACTATGAAATTTTGGCCCTTTAACTGCAGATTACTACTTAAATTATTAAAATCTGTTAATTAGTTTATGAGATATTATTAAAAAACATTTTGTCAACTATATAAAATTTTTTAAAAATAATAATATTGTTTATATAACATTTTATATAATTATTGAAACATTCTTTAAGGATATTTTATAATCTATTTATAGATTTTAATAGTTTAACCACTATTAGAATTGTCTTAATGAGCTCTACAATTTTACTTAGAAGCTTAAAATCGATTTATTTAGTATAGAAAAAGTTGTACATAGAATGCTATTTATTATATTAAATATAAATAAAGAATAAA